GTGAGTTGAGATGATGCCAAAGAGCTCAATTTTGGTCTCATCTGACCACAACACTTTCACCCACTTTTCCTCTGAATCATTCAGATGTTCATTGCCAAACTTCAGACAGGCCTGTACATGTGCTTTCTTGAGCAGGGGGACCTTGCGGGCGCTGCAGGACTGCAGTCCTTCACGGCGTAGTGTGTTACCAATTGTTTTCTTGGTGACTATGGTCCCAGCTGCCTTGAGATCATTGACAAGATCCTCCCTTGTAGTTCTGGGCTGATTCCTCACCATTCTCACGATCATTGAAACTCCACGAGGTGAGATCTTGCATGGAGCCCCAGACTGAGGAAGATTGACAGTTATTTTGTGTTTCTTTCATTTGCGAATAATCGCACCAACTGTTGTCACCTTCTCACCAAGCTGCTTGGCGATAGTCTTGTAGCCCATTCCAGCCTTGTGTAGGTCTACAATCTTGTCCCTGACATCCTTGGACAGCTCTTTGGTCTTGGCCATGGTGGAGAGTTTGGAATTTGATTGATTGCTTCTGTGGACAGGTGTCTTTTATACAGGTAACAAGCTGAGAATAGGAGCACTCCCTTTAAGAGAGTGCTCCTAATCTCAGCTTGTTACCTGTATAAAAGACACCTGGGAGCCAGAAATCTTGCTGATTGATAGGGGATCAAATACTTATTTCACTCATTAAATGCAAATCAATTGATAACTTTTTTGAAATGCGTTTTTCTGGATTTTGTTGTTGTTATTCTGTCTCACTGTTTTGTTTTGTTTTTTAAACAAATTTTATTGGTTTTTTATTTCTTAGAACAAAGTGCTCGAGACACACCGTGGTGCTGGGGCAATCAAACATCCAACAATAAAGCCATATATGAATAACTCAAATCAATGCATTAAATATTCCCTCTCTATTTCCCTCAAATAGCATAATATATTTAAAATAATCCATTTCTAAATTAATTTTCTATACATTCTAAACCTGTTTTTAAGCTTTATAAATTTACAGTTACCATAGTCAAATTTAACCTTAAATAAACAAATTATCACTTCAGGTATCCTTTCCAGATATATTCTAGTTCTGATCTCTTAAATCCTTAATTTTATCACAAATCTTGTTTATTTCTTCTTCCACTACACCAGCGGTTCTCAACCTGTGGGTCGCGACCCTTTTTGGGGTCGCACGAGCCTTTCACAGGGGTCGCCTAAGACCATCGGAAAACACATATTTCCGATGGTCTTAGGCAGGGCTCGTCAACCGTCTTCTCTCCCTCCCCCTCTCCGCTCCACCTCACTTGTTTGTGGAAAATATGCTGCTTGGCGGCAGTCTGCACAAACTCTACCAAATGTGCCCTGCAGGGGGCGCATGAAGAGCGCAGGCGCAGAGCAAGGCCCCGCCCTCCCCAGAGACTCATTGTGCAGCAACCGGATTGACTTCTTCTCGTGCATGCAGGTCAGCAAAGGGGAGGCCGGGGCAGCACCCAACTCCTGCGCCCGTCAGCTGGCGACCCCCGAACTTGAGCTTGTCAGCCGGTCTCCTTTGCCACCCCGCCCGTCCTCGACTCCTCCCCCGCCCGTTCATGTCCAGCCCGCTGGGGCTTGACAGGGAGAGAGGGAGGGAAGGAGGAAGGGACTCCTCCTCCTCTCCTAAGCTTCAAAGCACAATCGGCTTCCCAAGGGCGCCACAATCCTCACGAAAGCGGGGGGGAGAAAGCTTGCGGCAGGCTCGAAGGAGCACCCCACAAACCCAGGGAAGGGGTGGAGGAAAGGAGCCCGCTTTGGGAGGAAACCACCACCTTCTTCTCCTTGGCTTTGCGCTCTTCTGTTCCTCGGCAGCCGGGCTGCCAAGCCTCTGCTGGCTGGAACTTCCTTTCCTTCCCTCCCTCTTGGTCTCTTCCTCCTCCCCTCCCTCTCCCATTGTCTCTTCCTTCCTTCCTTCCCTCTTTCCCC